CCCACTCCCCCTCACCACATCCTGTGGGCAGGCCATTTCTCCTCCTTTCTCTAATGCAGGGGACCTCCCTTGCCTGGTGCCTATAGCACCCATCTCTTAGTCCAGCCTCTGATCTGCCCCGGCCACTGGCTGACTTCTCTGTACCCACAGCCTCAGCTTAGATGGGACCTCTTCAGGGAGCCTTCTCTGACTTCCCAGTCCAGGATCAATCTCCTGGCGCTTTTTCTTTATCACCATGAGAACAACTGCAATGAATAAACTACCTGTGAACTCACTCCTGGGCCGCTCCTGGCTCTGTCTTGGTGGCCTCCTGCTCTCAGTGAACCTCATGGGAGGAAGGAGTGGACGGCTTTCATGATGAAGCACTTTCCCTTCTGGAATGCTGAGCTCCAGCTCTCCCTCTCATCTTTCCACCCAGATATTCTCCTGACTTATTTTACTGTCATGTTTTCCCAGCTCCCTTCTGCCGTGTCCCACCGCCTTACCAGAGCCTTGGATGTTCTGGCACTCACAGAGGGGACAAGAGAACAGCAGGTGGAAGAGGAGGAATCCAGGGAGGATGGGGCCAGTCCCAGGCAGTCAAAGCCACCAGGGGAGTACTTTTCTCTTTCTTTCTTTCTTTCTTTTTTTTTTTTTTTTTTTTGAGATTAAGTTTCACTCTGTCCCCAACACTGGAGTGCAGTGATGCAATCGAAGCTCCCTGCATCCCTGCCTCCCGGGTTCAAGCAATTGTCCTGCCTCAACCTCCTTAGTAACTGGGATTAAAACCGTGCACCACCACGTCCGGCTAATTTTTGTGTATTTTTAGTAGAGACAGGGTTTCACCATGTTGGCCAGGCTGGTCTAGAACTTCTGACCTTGTGATCCACCCCTACCGTGGTCTCCCAAAGGGCTGGGATTACAGGCACGCGCCACTGCATCTGGGATTGGGGGTGAGGCTCTGATTTCCAGTGTTTTACTTGGGGGATGGTAAGACTAATGGAAAACAAGAAGTATAGAAGAAAGGGTGTTTTATCGTAAATAATTGAGTTAAAATGCAAAGCAGAAAATGATGAAACTAAGGATGATAAGTCTACATGATAACATTATTTCACAGCCATTACAATTAAGCTTTGGAATGATTAATTGTGTGGGAGATGTTCATGATATGGTATTAAATCTGAAGAGCAGATGACATCATGATCTTCGGAGGGTGACAGGGCATAGCTGTTAGGAGCAGGGCCTCTGTCCAAGTCAGCCAGAAACCCAGCTCTGTCCCAGGTGGATCCTGTGGGGCCTGAGATACGTCACACAAACTTTCTTCATCTCAGTTTACTTTTGTGAAAATGACAATTAAGAATCAGCTGATTAAAAATACTATGTACATAAAATATTTTTAAACATTTATCACAGCGTTTCACACACAGTTAAGTACCTCAAGGATTTTTTTTTAAGTATACATTTAAGTACTGTAAGAATTTAAGCTGTTGTTTTTCCTTACAATTATTTGGGGAAAAGCCAGGGATAAATACACCCAAATGCTAACAGTGGTTGTTTCTGACTGTGGCGATTTGAGTGATTTTTTAAATCACCTTTTATTGTCTCTCATTTATTTATATATTTAATAAGATTACTACGGTAAGTATCTTAATCATAGAAAAATGCTGTTTAGGCCGGGCATGGTGGCTCATGCCTGTAGTCCTAGCACTTTGGAAGGCCAAGGTGGTCAGCTCACCTGAGGTCAGGAGTTCGAGACCAGCCTGCCCAGCAACAAAACCCTGTTGTTGCTAAAAATGCAAAACATTAGCTGGGCACGGTGGCGGGTACCTGAATCCCAGCTACTTGGGAGGCTGAGGCAGGAGAATCACTTGAACCCAGGAG